ATGCATACAGTAAATATTTCCACAAATCCCCATTGCTAATCCGAGCGTGAGAACAGCGAAATCCTGAGTCCACATGCCCTCAGTTATTCTCCCATGGCTGACCCTCCAGATGGCACTAGAGAAAAAAAATCCCACCTGTCCACTAAAGAGCTCAATTAAAAGCTCAAGGACCAATGAAAATTATGACAAGCCTATTGTTCCATTTTCTCTGCTCTCTGATTGGCCGGCTGCGGATACATTATAGTATAAAAGTGGGCTAGGTTGAGGGTCTTGTGTGGGATTTTGTTTCACCACTGAAGAAGAGCCAAAGAGATCTTTAAACTCCTGAAACTCAGCATCAAACATGCCTGCCTACATGGACATCACCCCTCAGGACAACGTTCACTATGCCAGGTAAGAAAGGCATCTAAGTATTTGCAATAGTGTAAGTTTACATGCTTCATAAATTTGATCTCATTTATACTTACAAATACACTAAAGATGTTCTCTTCTGGACTGCAGGTGCAAACTCTACAGCTTGGAGAGAAAATGTTTCAGCAAAGTGGAGAAACTCATATCTTCTTTTGAAGACCACCTCCAGCATGGTATTCCCGCATCTGACATTTTGGAGAAGACTGTGTTCTTCTTTAGCTCAAAAAAGGCCTTAATCTTCCCCAGCGGCTACTCCAGGTGTTCTCGCGAAATTCTGCGCCTTTCTCCCGCTCCAGATCAGGATGTGACGCCATTGTTTTAAAGCGAACGTCCATCACAGACTGACCTGCAAATGAAAAGGGTTAACAAATCAAGCACTTGATGTGATTATATGTGTTCGCACATCTACCTCAGAGGAAAATAGCACTTTGCTTGTTCTCTCTGGAGTTTTGTTTCTCTAAAGGACTCTGATAACGTCACTGCACATTTTGGAAAGGCCCGTAGGGCTTATAAAAGAAGTTGTGCATTGATTGTAATGTACATTATTGTGGTAACCACCAAGCTGAGGATGCATTTTGTGCATTTAGATATAAAATTCTATTGTATTTTGCTCTTGAAGAGAAATTTACTGAATGTTCTTTAAAACCGTTTGACCATGCTCTCTTTTGGAGGACATGCAAAAAATACCTTTATTTCATTTTTAAAGATACAGTGTATCATTTGGTTGTTTTTGTGATGATTTTTAATCATATGCTCTTGTTTGTTTCTATACAATAAATGATTTTTATTGCATTTATATCTTTCTCTGATTTTGTACAATTTGAATATTGGTGGTTTAAAAAAAATCTTGTCATATCTACCTAACAAGCTTAGAAAACTTTAAGGTTTCTTTAAAATGCGTAAATTTGGGGGTTATTTTTAGTGTCGCTAAAATAGCTAGTTAAAGTTGCTGCTTTACGTTATTTGTGACCACTTTGTCATATTTCCTTTTGGTCTCAGATAGTTAAGAGTCGATAAAGAATAAAGTCACCTATATTTTGAGTGCATTCTATTTCTATTTCTTACATCAGAAAGCAGGCTCATACAAAATCGCTGATTGTTTACAGCTTGGCACGCACAAACTCTAAACTACTAAGCCTTACAATTCATTTGTCTATCAAACAAATTGTGAATTGCTTCGAGTTTTATTTACTGTACCTGACAAATTAGAAAATGTATTTGTTCCCATATTCATTCATCCATCCAACACTATTAAAAAAACTCAGCTGACGTCATTTCTTCAGGTGAGTTTGTGGCAAGTCAAAACTGTTTCATGGTTGAAATGGTCAACAGTTTCTAACTAATGACCAGTAAAGCGA